CCCCGCGTCGGGCTCTGGGCTGATGGCTCAGAGCCTGGAGCCTGTTTCCGATTCTGTGTCTCCCTCTCTCTCTGCCCCTCGCCCGTTCATGCTCTGTCTCTCTCTGTCCCAAAAATAAATAAACGTTGGAAAAAAAAATAATAATAAAATCTTTAAAAAAAATTAAGATGTACATAAAATAAACAGGGGTCGGCTCTCGGAAGAAGAAAAGGGGCATATTTTCCTATCGGCTCCTACAAAGAAGCTCTCATCAGGGAAGGATATGAGGGGCAGCTGTTTAGACATCCTCAGACACTCTCACAGCCCTGGCCCCTTCCCTGGCTCGTGAGAATGTGACCTCCTTGGCCATTCACCTTGCTGTTGTCACTTGCTCACCTGGACCGGTTCCACTGCGGACTTCCTCTTCTATCGCCCACGGTTCTTCCCCTCGTTCCAGCTTGGCGAGCACGTCTGGTTTGCTGGCTTGATGCCCTGCCCGTGGGAGAGACAGGACACTTGGAGATGGGCTGGGGTGTGTCGGGATGGGAGGACGCTACACGTGAGGGGCTGACAGTTTTCGCATCTGCACGGCAGGGGTTCTTCTCTCACAGGAGCGGACACGTTATACACTCTTGTCTGAAGCCAGAGAAGGACCTGAGAATCTACCACTGGAAAGCACTGCAGATACTCTGAAGTGTTAAGCAGCTGACAGAGGAAAGGCCACTGATGGGGACTCTTTGAATGACAGGGGGGCTGTCCTCACCCACTGACACCAGGTTCCTGTAGTTCTCCAACATCACGTCCCGGCAGGTTCTTCTGGGTGGGGGCCAGGAGCTGCCACTCCTCCCACATGAAGTCCATGGTCACATCCTCGTGTCAGCAACTCCTGTAATAACATGGTCCTGTTTAATAGAAGTGTTTCCCTTTTATTTGTTATTTTTTTAAGATTTTATTTTTTCTTGGGGTGCCTGGGTGGCTCAGTTGGGTAAGCGTAGGACTTCAGCTCAGGTCACGATCTCATAGTTCGTGGGTTCGAGCCCCATGTCAGGCTCTAGGCTGACAGCTCGGAACCCGGAGCCTGCTTCCGACTCTGTGTGTGTGTCTCTCTCTCTGCCCCTCCAGACGCAGGGCTCGAACCCACGAACTGTGAGATTATGACCTGAGCCAAAGTCAGACGCTTAACCAACTGATCCACTCAGGAGCCCCACAAGCAGTTTTTTAAAAACCACTTTGTAGGGGCACCTGGGTGGCTCAGTCGGTTAAGCATCCGACTTTGGCTCAGGTCATGATCTCACGGTTTGTGAGTCCGAGCCCCACATCAGGCTCTGTGCTAACAGCTCAGAGCCTGGAGGCCACTTTGGATTCTATGTCTCCCTCTCTCTGCCCCTTCCCCGCTCACACTCTCTCTCTCTCTCAAAAATAAATAATCATTAAAAACTATTTTAGGGGCGCCTGGGTGGCGCAGTTGGATAAGCGTCCGACTTCAGCCAGGTCACGATCTCGCGGTCCGTGAGTTCGAGCCCCGCGTCAGGCTCTGGGCTGATGGCTCAGAGCCTGGAGCCTGTTTCCGATTCTGTGTCTCCCTCTCTCTCTGCCCCTCCCCCGTTCATGCTCTGTCTCTCTCTGTCCCAAAAATAAATAAACGTTGAAAAAAATAAATTAAAAAAAAAACTATTTTAAATCAGTCTGTAGAAGGAAAATACTATTGGGATATTCTGCATTTATACTTTCAATAGTCCGTTTATCTGACAAATCAGAAATTTCTGTAATAAGTAGATATGACATTCTCTTGCCAACCAAGAATCACATACATGGGAGCACTTACTTGCCAAACATTATACACTTGCCAAACATTGAACTTGATATTAAGATTAATAAAACAAGATTAATCAATATTAATAAAACAAGATGAATGAAACACATTATTGCACTCATCCAGGGCCTGGCCAGACTTGGGGGATCTGAATTAACCGTGTGGAGACAAGAGATCCAGAATTACAAGATACGTCATGTTTAATAAGTGTGTTTAAAATGTTCTAAGGAATTTTTTTTTTCAACGTTTATTTATTTTTGCGACAGAGACAGACAGAGCATGAACGGGGGAGGGACAGAGAGAGAGACACGGAATCGGAAACGGGCTCCAGGCTCCAAGCCGTCCGCCCAGAGCCCGACGCGGGGCTCGAGCTCATGGAGCGCGAGATCATGACCTGGCTGAAGTCGGACGCTTAACCGACTGCGCCACCCAGGCGCCCCTTTTTTAAATGTTTTTTTTCAGCGTTTTTTTTTTTTAATTTTTTATTTTTGGGGCAGAGAGAGACAGAGCATGAACGGGGGAGGGGCAGAGAGAGAGGGAGACACAGAATTGGAAACAGGCTCCAGGCTCTGAGCCATCAGCCCAGAGCCCGACGCGGGGCTCGAAGTCACGGACCGCGAGATCGTGACCTGGCTGAAGTCGGACGCCTAACCGACAGCGCCACCCAGGCGCCCCTAAAATGTTCTAAGGAATTTTTAAAAAGTGTTGCAAGGTAGGGCACCTGGGTGGCACAGTCAGTTAAGCGTCTGACTCTTGGTTTCAGCTCAGGTCGTGATCTCCTGGTTCGTGGGTTCGAGCCTCCACATCGACCTCTGCACCAACAGTGTGGGGCCTGCTTGGGATTCTCTCTCTGCACCCCCTCTCAGAATAAATAAATAAATAGACATCTTTTTAAAATGTCGCCAGGAGCATTTTAAAATGTCTAAGGAACAGGAACTATAAAGAGACAGGTAGGCAGAATTGAGGAACAGTATATCTGAAAAAAAGAAACACCCCCACAGGTTGAAAGCATATTAGAGGCACTGAAGGGATAATTAGTGAACTAGAAATTACCCAAAATGCAGCAGAGCGACTGCAGCTGGGCGGAATATTCCGAAAGACCATGATAATTTGCTAGCGGGACTCAGAACTCACTGAAAGCTGTTAGAGCTTATGATAGTTAAAGGATACAGGTTAACATGAGCCAAGAAAAGTGGCGCAAAGGGCAGAGCACAGCAAAGTCCCAGACATGGAGCTTCCAGATGACCTCCCACAATGGAGCCACGGGCAGTGTTACTTCCTCAGCATGCACCTGCGACAGAAGGCAGGGGAAACTGCCAACACAAAACTCCCGAGCTTGATGTCTGCTCCGTGTGGGAGCTCAATCAGCTGGGCAGGACACACGCACGTCCGCCTTCAGTCTCCAGCCTCTCCAGGGGTGCACGGACACACAGCCACCCCCCAAGTCACGCTGTGGCTTTTCCTTGGCTGTTTTGATCTCTATTCTTTCTATCATAAATGTAACCTTGAGTATAAAAGGCTTTCTGAGTTCTGAGTCTTCTTAGCAAATTAGCATACCTGAGGGTGGTCTTGGGGACCCGCAAGGTAAAAGGGAACTCACTTGTTTGCTGAATATACATACAATATATGCATAAATATTAACTATTAAATATACATATATATTGGGCGCCTTGGTGGCTCAGTCGGTTAAGCGTCTGACTTCAGCTCAGGTCATGACCTCGGGAGTCCATTCTCGTTGGGGTCTGTGCTCAGAGCCTGGAGCCTGCTTCGGATCTGTGTCTCCTGCTCTCTCTGCCCTTCCCCCTCTCACGGCTCTGTCCTCCCCCCCAAATAAATGAACATTAAATTTTTTTTTTTAATAAAAATGAATTAAAAAAAGAAAAAGAAACCTGGACCAGATACCACATGAGGACACAGGGAGAAGGTGGTATGTACAAGTCGAGGAAAGACCTTCGGAAGGAACCAACTGTGGGGACCTTGATCTCAGACTTTAGCCTCCAGAATTGTGAGAAATGTCTGTTGCATAAGCCAGCCAGTCTGTGCTCTGTTATGACAGCCCGAGAAGACTAATACACCCACCCTACTGAGCCAGACAAGGCAGTGACCCATGTAGACCCAAGCCCTTAGACCTTAGGATCCTCACTCGTCACCCTGTGCCACAGCTGAGAACATGGCACCTGGATGGAGGGGAAAATGATGAGGCTTCAAAGGTAGAAAAGCAGTTCCCTAAAATACATGAAGATGGAAATGGAGCGTTCCAGAGTCTAAGCAGCCAACAATGCCATTATCATCTGGCAGTCAGCACGCTTAGTAATTGTTACGATTTTTATGAAGGTGAGGGGTGGAGCCTAGAGGATGTAAACAGACATGGCCTTCTCAAAGAGGACCATCTGGAATTACTTATCCTACTAAAATGTTTTATTTACCTGGGACGCCAGCCTCGGAAAGGTGAGTCAGCACCTGGGCCTCAGGGTTCAAGGCAGGCCTGGGCAGCCCCTTCAGGGACCCCGACTGAAGATTCAAGGACAAAGACACGGGCCACGAGAGGCGGTGCAGATTCGCGACACGAGTGGAGATGACCTGAAGCCTGAGTCGAACAAGAGTCCATTTCTGATTCTTTGAAGAGCATCTGTCCCAAATCCATCCTTCCAGAGGCCATTATTTTGCATGTTTTGTTCACCAGTGTGTACCCCATGTCTACAACAGTGCCTGGCACAGTGCAGGCGCTCAAAAAAACATGTTGCAGTAAATTCCTCACAAACCCAGTGTTTGGAATTCAATGATGAGACAGCCACTTGACGGCAAATTTCCACTTTTTTCCCTTGTAATCAGCGCTCCGCTTTTAAGCTGGACAGATCTTTCCTGAAGCAAGGGAAAGAACCCGGAGTACAGGAGAGAGGACAAGGCCCCGTTCCCAGGACAGTGAGCGTGATGAAGCTGCGTGTCCCAGTTCATCACATCACAAAGGAGCTGGGATCCCTGAGATAAAAGCTCTAACAGGGGGCAGACTGTGGAGCGAGGGTCAGGGCGCTTCACAGCATCGAAAGAATCTCACCTCCACCCATCTAACGCACTGTCCTCCTTTTTGGAGGTGACGTCACTTTCTATCAATTGGGCTTGCTCTGGGGATCCTATTCCTTCTCTGATCTGCCCTTTCTCTATTGCCAGGGGCCTCTATTCAGGATTCTTTTTTTTTTTTTTTTTTTTAATAATTTTCTGATCTTTGAAATTTCTTTCCCGTAGCTCCTTTCCTTAAGTGAACAAAAATCCGCTTGATTAGTCCAGTGGGTCATTCATTTAGGCCACGCATTTACTTTCAGTCGCCTTTCAAAGCCATGGGATTTGTTTCCAGTCTGCTATGGGCTGGGGAATATGCGAAAATCTATAAACTATCTGGGTAGGGATTTATAATCCAGGTAGAAGGATAGTATCTTTTAACAAAGTATCCACATCCCATGTTACACATGTAAAACCAACTGAATCTTTTCCCCATCCCTGTCCAAATAATAACATGCCCCTCGAGCAAGAAATTACCATGATACTTTGTACCTTTTACCTTATGTCCCTTTCAACTAATGTAGGTGTTATCTATCCTCTGATTACATGTGCTGGAAGGTCAAAGTGCCATATGCATGTAATTCAGTTTAAAAAGGAAAAAAAAAAACACTTCAAAGGCAGCAAGGATTCTTATTTAGTTCACTACTGTCAGCATCTGTAGATCATGTAAGGAAATAGCTAATGAAAGGTTTTCTGAGCGGTGTGTGTACCGGCTGGGAACTGTCTTCTAGGCAAAGAACTTGACGGATAGGTTATTCAGGAGTTCCGAGTAGTTGTTCCTTTGGGGGATATTTACAAAGTCAAACACATCCAAATATGCCATGGTACAACACTGAATTAAATGTATTCAGCTTCCTTTTGAAGGACTTCAGTGGTCTAAAATTAACTGAATAAATTTAGAACCAAAAGAATACAGGAGCTAACCAAATACTGATCCTGGGTGGGAATGAAAGATTCATGCGCCCCCCAGAAAAGGGGGGGTGCACGGTTATAGTTCTAACCACTGATGTGCACCATCTACCACCTCCTTTGAATTAAGGAGTCACCATCACATCAGTCAGTTAGGAGTCTGATTCAAGGTATATTGTCCTGAAATGCGCACTGTGTGGAATGAGGCTAGACTTCTGGCAGAAATCTCTGAAATATTCACTTTCACAAGGCGTATTCGCTGGATGTGTTTGCTGCTATTTTGCTGAAGACGTTCCACAGTTGGTGTGCTCAGAGTCCTTTTTTTCTGTAGGATTTCCCCAGCCTGAGGATGCTCCAGTGACAGTCCTGCCACAGTCACTGCCTTCAAAGCTCTTCCAACAGTTTCTCTCCTGTGGGAACCGTCTGGCACCTAGTGAGGTCCTCTCTTTGGGGAAGGACTTTCCCACAGTCATTATATTTCTACCAGCTATGAGCTCACTGCTGATATGGGACCCGTGAGACACCCGGCAGGCTCTATCTTTCCACAAAGGCTTTCTGGATCTTTATTCTATTTGTCTTTTTATACTATTCCCAGGCTTTACACCATGCGTCTCAGTATACGCCGGTCAGCCACACACTGACCTGGCAGGTTTTATTCAAGGGCTTTCCACCTAGATTGTATCACACTTTATGCCTGTGTGCTTTTTGGGACATAAACTATGACGCAACTGGTCGGTGAAGGCAGCACCACATTCACTGCATTCAACAGGTTTCCCTGTGCAAACTCGGTTATCTGCTGGTGGTGCACACCTAGCACCTGGCTGTCCCACCGTGGCTGTGTTCCTATTTGCTAGGAGCCCACAGAGGCGTAACGAAGTCTGAGCTGCTACAGAAGGCACTGGCCTGGACACCTTATTAACAGGGTCTTTCTCCTGCGTGCTATCACTTGAACGTGACGGGCTGTGGCTCTCTGAGAAAGGATTCCCCACCGTGACTGGACGTACACCTTTCTCTCTTGCGTGCAACATTCCCTTATGGTAAACGAGGCAAGACAGGTGGGAGAAAGCCTTCCCACAGTCAGTGCACCTGTAGGGCCTCTCTCCTGTATGAGTCCTCCGGTGTCTGTTAAGGCACGACTTATCTCTAAAGGCCTTCCCGCAGTCACCGCAGGTATAGGGTTTCTCTCCTGTGTGAATCCTCCTGTGGTTAATGAGACCGGACTTGTGGGAACAGGATTTTCCACACTCACTACACACAAAGGGCGTCTTTCCAGTGTGAAATCGCTGATGGGATATGAGGCAGGTCTTCTGGCTAAAGCCTTTCCCACATTCGGTGCATACATAGGGTTTCTCTCCAGTGTGAATGCGTTGATGTTTAAGGAGATTGCCCTTCTGAATGAAGCCTTTTCCACAGTCACTGCATACGTAAGGTTTCTCCCCAGTGTGCGTCCGCTGGTGTACGATGAGATTGCCCTTCTGAATGAAGCCTTTCCCACAATCACCGCATATATACGGTTTCTCTCCTGTATGAGTCTTCTGATGGGCGTTGAGCTGCGACTTCCAGCGGAACGTTTTGTCACATTGGGTGCATTCGTAAGGTTTTTCTCCTGTGTGAGTTCTCTGGTGTTCAATGAGCCTGGACTTTCTGGAAAATGCCTTGTCACACAGACTGCATCCATGGGGCTTCTCTCCTGTGTGAACTCTCTGATGGTTAATGAGCCGAGACTTCTTGAAGAAGCCTTTTCCGCACTCACTGCATACATAGGGTTTCTCTCCTGTGTGAGTTTTCTGATGCACAAGGAGCCGTGATTTCTTGGGGAATGATCTGTCACATTCAGTGCATGCGTACCGCCTCTCTCCTATGTGAGTTTTCTGGTGTTCGGTGAGCCTGGACTTTCTGGAAAAGGCTTTGCCGCATATGCTGCATCCATGAGGCTTCTCTCCTGTGTGCACTCTCTGATGATCCGTGAGCCGAGACTTCTTGAAGAAGCCTTTTCCACACTCACCGCATACGTGGGGTTTCTCTGTCTTTTGAGTTCTCTGATGCTTGATGAATTGGGAATTTGTATTTGCAGAACTTCCACATTCAGGAAATTTAATTTCAACACAATACTGGTCATGCTTTGTATGGGAAAAGGATTTCATATCCCCATTAACCTCAGTCAGGTTCTTTACTTCATAGCTTTTGTTCCGGTTAACTGAACTTAAGTTTGACTTCAGTGTTTTCCCATGTAAGTCAAAGATGTCATGACTTTGCCTTACAGGAAAATTACTTTTACTCCGATGAACAATGTTTCCAAATGCATTATGTTCATGGCATTGTTTCATTCTCTTTGGACATCTTTGATTTTGCAAGTGCCCCTGTAGATGGCCACCATCTTTCTTGATCTCTAGGAAAGAAGAGAAGAATGAATCTTTCCATGAGCTTGATACATCAGCTTGATATATACTAAAACTATTTCTCAAGTGGATCTGTGTAGGTTGATTCCTTATTGACAACACTATGACCTCATTTTAAAGAAACTCCAGGAAATATGTTTGTTATCATTTGAACAAAGGTTAAGCACAATAATATAAGCAAAGAAGAAAGGTAAGAATAGTCAGTGCATAAATAAGGTTAGATCACTCAAAATGAATAAACATAGATTTGGCTCCTTTCTAACTGTGACCTTACAAAGCATGCTAAGAAAGTACAATAAAACCAAGTTCCCAGAGGAGATAGAAGGATATCTGTTTTAAAATGTTGTGGGACACATTCATACATCCATAAATCCTTAGGAAACTATGACCATGTACCAGGCATTGTGCTGGTGATGAGGACACAGAAACACATTTCCTGTTTCCACTGAGCATACGTTCTAGTTAGGAAAAACAAAATTAAGCAAGCAGTGACAGAGAAAGCAGGTACAAACTGTGAAAAGTGGGTTCAGGGAGCAATGGAAAGTGAGGTGGACAGAGTCAGAACATAATGTGGAGAGAGAAAAGACAAGGCTCGCTCACAACTTCAACTTGGGGGGAATTAATACATGTGAGGAATCAGGTCTTATTCTGAAGTATTTGACCTGGGCCAATTGACAGGTGGGTAGTGACTTTTAATGAGATGGGAAATATTATTGGGGTTTGGAATGGGGGGAAATTAAGCGAGCATATCAGCCTTCAGAGGCGTTTTGGATAGCTGATACAGACACAAAGAGCTTGACTGGATATGTAAATCCTAAGAAAGGTCTCAACTAGAAATAACAATGTAGAAATCACCAGTGTATAAATGTCACATAAAGACAGGAAACTGGTTGGGTTCACACTTGGATAAATGAGTACGTTGAAAGATGAAAGTATGGGACCATGTTTATAATTACTGGAACATTAGGAGTTTGGATTTTTACATGTTTATTTATTTATTTTTGAGAGAGAGAGTGCTGGGGGCGGCGGGGAGGCAGAGAGAGAGGGAGACAGACAAACCCAAGCAGGCTCTGTGCCGTCATCACAGAGCCCCATGCGGGACTCGAACTCACAAACCGTGAGAGCGTGACCTGAGGTGAAATCAAGAATTGGATGCTCAACTGACTGAGCCACCCAGGCGCGCCAGGAGTTTGGGTTTTAAATAGCCCATGGACTGGGGCGCCTGGATGGTTCAGTCAGTTAAGGGTCCACCTCTTGATTTCAGCTCTGGTCACGATCTCATGGTTTGTGAGATCGAGCTCCACATCGGGCTCTGTGCTGACAGTGCAGAGCCTGCTTGGGATTCTCTCTCTACCTCTCTTTCTGCCCCTCCCCAGCTCTCTCTCTCTCAAAACAAATAAATGAACATTAGAAAAAAAAAGCCCATGGAGGAAGACAAATACCATATGATTTCACTCATATGTGAACTTTAAGAAACAAAAACAGGGGCGCCTGGGTGGCTCAGTCTGTTAAGTGTCCGACTCTTGCTTTCAGCTCAGGTCATAATCTCATGGTTCATGAGGTTGAGTCCCGGGTCAGGATCCACACTGACTGTGGAGCCTGCTTAAGACTCTCTCCCTCTCTCTCTGCTCCTCCCCTGCTCGCAGTGCATGCTCTCTCAAAAAAAGAAACAAAAATACACAAAGGGAAAAAAGAAAAAAGAGAGAGAGAGACAAACCAAAAAAACAGACTCTCAACTATAGAAAACAAACTGACGGTTACCAGAGGGGAGGAGGGTGGGGGTAGGTGAAATAGGTGAAGGGGATTAAGATTACGTTTATCTATCATGATCAGCACTGAGTAGTGCGTCCAATTGTCGAATCACTATATCGGACACCTGAAGTGAATATAACACCATATGTTAACTATAGCGGAATTAAAACTAAAAATTTAGGGGCGCCAGGGTGGCGCAGTCGGTTAAGCGTCCGACTTCGGCCAGGTCACGATCTCGCGGTCCGTGAGTTCGAGCCCCGCGTCGGGCTCTGGGCTGATGGCTCGGAGCCTGGAGCCTGTTTCCGATTCTGTGTCTCCCTCTCTCTGCCCCTCCCCCGTTCATGCTCTGTCTCTCTCTGTCCCAAAAATAAATAAACGTTGAAAAAAAAAAATTAAAAAAAAAAAAAAACTAAAAATTTAATTAAAAACAAAAATACCAAAGGGGGGAAAAAAACCCAGGGAGAAGCAACAAACATTGTCTATATTAATAAGGGAAATAAACATGCCCATAGTCAGGAAATTACAAGGGTTGTAGACACTCTGTGCCAGGAACCAGGGCGAAAGACCAAATACATGTTTCTTACATCACAATACCACACGAGGGGCTGTCACCTTCTTCTGTCACATTTACATTTTGTACTTGCACACAAGGAATATTCCAACTGTTCCCATGTCAGTGTAATGAGCCCCCAAATCGACACCTTGCCCCCAATAGCATCTTTTTCTAAAATTCTTTTTTTTTTAAGTTTACTTTTTTATTTTGAGAGAGAGAGAGAGAATGAGCGGGGGTGAAGAGGGCAGAAAGAGACGGAGAGAGAGAGAATCCCAAGCAGGCCCCGCGCTGTCAGCACAGAGCCCGACACGGGGCTCAAACTCACGAACCGTGAGATCATGACCTGAGCCGAAATCGAGAGTCGGACGCTTAATGGACTGGGCCAGCCAGGTGCCCCTCTTTCAAAATTCTACATATACATCTTGGTTTCCATCGACCCTTCTCCCACTCTGCGTCACTGTGAGCTGTTTCCCCTCGGTTTCTAAAGTGCTCCTAGCTTTACCGTTCACTAACAATTAACTTCACCCAGCCCAGGACTGTAGCACGAGACGCCTCATTCAAAGCTGAACCTCCATGTTTTACATGCCAATTTGTCCCGTTTTCTTTTTTTTAATGTTTATTATTTATTTTTGAGAGAGAGAGGAAGAGTGCACTCATGCATGCGAGCAGGGGAGGGGGAGAGAGAGAAGGGGGACAGAGGATCCAAAGTGGGCTCTGTATTGACAGCAGAGAGCCCAATGCGGGGCTCCGACTCACGAACCTGCAAGATCATGACCTGAGCCAAAGTCAGACACTCAACCAACTGAGCGGCCCAGAAGCCCCCGTTCTCTATTTTCTACTAAAATCCTACTTCTAGAATATATTGCTTTACTTCTCACTAAATTCAATTTCTTCCAGCACATATGAAGACTGTGGCTCGACCAATTAGGCTCAAGAGGGCCTGTTTTACAGCATCATATATAGACCAGCCCAGGCCATCACCCCGAAGCTAACAAAAACACACTCTCAAAAGAAAGGGTCTGGGAAACCCTGCGTTTAACAAATGGCCACCTTTCTGATTCCTAGCTGTCCAAGGCTCCTTTATTATTATTTTTTTTTATATATCTATTTATTTTTGAGAGAGAGAGACACACACACACAGAGCATGAGTAGAGAGGGGCAGAGAGAAAGGGAGACAGAATCAGAAGCAGGCCCCAGGCTCTGAGCAATCAGCACAGAGCCCAACGATGGGCTTGAACTCACGGACGGCGAGATCATGACCTCAGAGGAAGTTGGACGTTTAACCGACTGAGCAACCCAGGCACCTCTGTCCAAGGCTCTTCTTAATCTGTCCACATACGACACGAGATATACTCAATCCATATTTCCATCTCTAGTCCTAAACTCTCCCTGGACTCCTCTGCCATATCCAAACACAGCATGCTAGCCTGGACATGCGTGAGCACAGTCTGATGTACAATATGCAAAACAGAACTCACGACTCCTCAACCCACACCTCCTCTTCCGCACGTCGTCTTCATCTCAGAAATGGAAACTCTACTCCTTCCGGACTCGCACCCGAAAGACTTCCTGTCATCCTGCTTCTGTGTCTTCTCTCGCAGCCTCTACATACTTCAGTAGGAAATTATTTCTGCCCTCTTTATAAACACGTTCAGAAGAACACCGACCCTCACCCTCTCTGCCCAGGTGTCCTGGACCATAGCAACAGGTTCCCAGCTGGACTTCGGCCCTCAGCCTGTCTGCTACCATCTCCTTTCTACAAAGTAGCCAAAGCCATCATTTTAAATAGAAATGATTTTGTATTCATTCTCTACTGAAAACTCCCTAATGCTTTCTTATCTCGTTATTTAAAAATATCAAGTCCTTGGGGCGCCTGGGTGGCTCAGTTGTTTAAGTGACTGACTCTTGATTTCAGTTCAGGTCATGATCTCACTGTTCGTGAGTTCAAGCCCTGCGTTGGGCTCTGCGCTTACAGCACAGAGCCTGCTTGGGATTCTGTCTCTCCCTCTCTCTCTGCCCCTTCCCGGCCTGTCTTCTCTCTCTCTCTCTCTCTCTCTCTCTCTCTCTCTCTCTCAAAAATAAAAAAAATATTTTAAAAACATCAAGTCCTTGAAATGTGCTTCCAAGGTCATACACGAGATGTCTAATCTAACTCCAGCCGCTACCCCATTGCCCTTATCTCCATGTGATCACCAGCCACTATCCCTCTGGCTCCCTTCCCTGTACTCACACCAGCTTCCCTGAGGTTCCTCAAACATGTTTCTGCCTCAGGCCTTTGAACTTGCAATGATGTCCTCTGGCAGCTCAGTTCACCAGAGACCCTCACACTCCTCACACAGCTGCTCAAAGGCATCTTACCAAAGAGTTACTCCCATCCCTGAAGACCTAAGCTTAGAGGCCCCAGCTAAACTCCCAGCTCCTCCAGCAGCTCTGGGGCCTCGCACACAATTCCACTGCTGTCCCACCGATCTTCCCGGACTTTTCCCCACAAGACGTTACACTTATTTGCTTGTTTTGATCAACTTTGTTTCCCCTCGTACAAAGTCATCTCTGAAAATAATTTGTTATTACTGTTGTTGCTCACGGCTGTCGGTGCCCACGTGTACAAGGCTACCAAAAAACCATTTAAGGTAATCAGAAAATATTTCAAACAATGAACCAAGGAAAGATCCTCATGTATGGAACACATTAAAAAGACTCCTTCATCCTATACACCAACAATGAAGCAACAGAAAGAGAAATCAAGGAATTGATCCCATTTACAGTTGCACCAAAAACCGTAAAATACCTAGGAATAAACCTAACCAAAGAGGTGAAAAATCTACACACTGAAAACTAGAAAGCTTATGAAAGAAATTGAAGAAGACACAAAAACATGGAAAAAGATTCCATGCTCCTGGATAGGCAGAAAAAATACTGTTAAAATGTCGATACTACCCAAAGCAATCTACATATTCAATGCAATCCTTATCAAAGTAACACCAGCATTCTTCACAGAGCTAGAACAAATAATCCTAAAATTTGTACGGAACCAGAAAAGACCCCGAATAGCCAAAGCAATCTTGAAAAAGAAAACCAAAGCAGGAGGCATCACAATCCCAGACTTCAAGTTATACTACAAAGCTGTAATCATCAAGACAGTATGGTACTGGCACAAGAACAGACACTCAGATCAATGGAACAGAATTGAGAACCCAGAAATGGACCCACAAACGTATGGCCAACTAATCTTTGACAAAGCCGGAAAGAATATCCAATGGAATAAAGACAGTCTCTTCAGCAAGTGGTGCTGGGAAAACTGGACAGCGACATGCAGAAGAATGAACCTGGACCACTTTCTTACACCATACACAAAAAGAAACTCAAAATGGTTGAAAGACCTCAATGTAAGACAGGAAGCCATCAAAATCCTCGAGCAGAAAGCAGGCAAAAACCTCTTTGATCTTGGCCGCAGCAACTTCTTACTCAACACGTCTCTGGAGGCAAGGGAAACAAAAGCAAAAATGAACTACTGGGACCTCATCAAAATAATAAGCTTCTGCACAGTGAAGGAAACAATCAGCAAAACTAAAAGGCAACTGACAGAACAGGAGAAGATATTTGCAAACGACGTATCAGATAAAGAGTTAGTATCCAAAATCTAAAGAACTTCTCAAACTCCACACCCAAAAAACAAATAATCCAGTGAACAAAAGGGCAAAAGACATGAATAGACACTTCTCCAAGGAAGACATCCAGATGGCCAAACGACACATGAAAAAAAATGCTCCTCATCACTCATCATCAGGGAAATACAAATCAAAACTGCAATGAGATACCACCTCACACCTGTCAGAATGGCTCACATGAACAACTCAGGCAACAGCAGATGTTGGCGAGGATGCAGAGAAAGAGGATCTCTTTTGCATTGTTGGTGGGAATGCAAGCTGGTGCAGCCATTCTGGAAAACAGTCTGGAGGCTCCTCAAAAAACTAAAAATAGAACTACCCTACGACCCAGCAATTGCATTACCAGGCATTTATCCACGGGATACAGGCGTGCTGTTTCGAAGGGACACATGCACCCCCATGTTTATAGCAGCTCTATCAACAGCCAAAGTATGGAAAGAGCCCAAATGTCCATCGATGGATGAATGGATAAAGAAGATGTGGTATATAGATACACAATGGAGTATTACTTGGCAATCAAAAAGAATGAAATCTTGCCATTTGCAACTACGTGGATGGAACTGGAGGGTATTATGCTAAGTGAAATTAGTCAGAGAAAGACAAAAATCATATGATTTCACTCATATGAGGACTTTAAGAGACAAAACGGATGAACATAAGAGAAGGGAAAGAAAATAATATAAAAACAGGGAGGGGAACAAAACAGAAGAGACTCATAAATATGGAGAACAAACTGAGGGTTACTGGAGGGGTTGTGGGAGGGGGGATGGGCTAAATGGGGAAGGGGCATTAAGGAATCTACTCCTGAAATCACTGTTGCACTATATGCTAACTAATTTGGATGTAAATTTTAAAAAAGAAAAAATAAAATCTAAAAAAAGAAAAAAAGAAAAAAAAAGACTCCTTCCAATACAGTTGACCTTGACTTTAGGAAAAGGGAAGCAAATTCTATATAAGCAAGAGACAGCATATTATGGAGACTGTTGATCGAAGAGAAATTTCTGTCCTATATAAGACTGGTAATGTGATTAGTTGGGATTTAATGTTGGTGATTATCAGAAGGAAAAGGAAAGATTCAAGGGAATGAATCCAGCAGTCTCATTTAGGAAGACTAAAAGAAAGATCAGAATGAATAATTATACAAGGAAATAAAAGCAATGATGTAGTCTGGGCGGAGAACAAAGAATGAGAAATTTTAAGAAATCAAAAGGCTTTAATAAGGGATCTAAGGAGGTAGGGAAGTGTTGACGAAAAAGACACACTTCACCGCCCCAGGTTCCCACAGAAAACACCCCAAACCCTTACAATTTCCTAAGTGATAAGAGCACTCAGCATCTTCTGTTCTAATGTTTGGTTTCTGACCTCGGTTCCTGACACAGGGCTCATAAACCCCTTGGAATTTCCTGGGTGATAAGAGTATCTTTTGTTCTAATAAGGTGACTCTGGGTGGGCTGCTGGATGGGGGCTGGTCAGCAGAAAGACCAGGCCTGATTAGAAGCTTGGAACTTTCAGCCCCACCCTCCATCCTCCAGAAAGAAGAGACTGGAGAGAGAGTTCATGATTGATCGTGTGTGTAATGAAGCCTCCAGAAAATCCCTGTACTCTGGGGTTCAGGGAGCTTCCGGGTTGCTGAACGCATGGAGGTGTGGGGAGACAGAGGCCTGGAGAGGGATGAAAACTCTGTGCCCCTTTCCACATACCTCTCCCTACACACCTCTTCCACCTGGATGTTCATCTGTATGCTTTATCATATCCTTTTATAACAAACTAGTAAACAATAAGTATTTCCCCAAATTCTCTGAATTATTCTAGCAAATAATCAAATTCAAGGGAGAGGAGGTCATGGGAACCTCGAATTTGTAGCCAAGTCAGACAGAAGCTGTGAGTAACCTGATTGATATCTAAAGCAGGGGGCAGTCTCATGGGATCTGCCGTTAACCTATGGGATCTAACACTACCCTCCAGGTAGATAATGTCAGAACTGAGTTCAATCGTAAGACACCCAGCCAGTGTCACAAAGAACTGCTTGCTGTGGGGAGAAACCCCAACACATAGCATCAGAAGTTCTGTACATGTGGCCATGGTGTCAAAGGAGAGATATGAGAGGTTTTCTACACAGTCCGGATGCAAGACGGGAAGATCAGAAGTTACGTCCCTCCCAAATTCACATGTTGAAATCCTAACTCCCAATCAAAACCGGAAGTGAATGTTAGGAAGGCAAAATGACGTTATCCAAAGGGACAGGAAGGGGTACTAGTCAGAAGACGGGGCTCCAATTGAACACTTCTCTTTGGAGAGAGGTGTGGAAGGTGGACTTTCGGAGCAAGGGAAGCAGAAGGAACAGGTGATGATACAGCACCGGGCAAAGAAGGCTGATGAGATTTGAAGATTCGAAAAAGAAACCCAGAGAGAAAAATAACGGAGACCTGTATGAAACAACCACGAATTGAACCCGAGCAGAGACACGTCCTCTAAGCACCTAAAAGAGAAAGGACCCTTCTACGGGAGATTCTCGGAGCTCTGTGACACACGTCCTCAGACACCCTTGCAGCCGTGACACTCTGAGTGACTAAATGCGACCTCCTCACCATCTTCCCCACTGGCTCTCACCTGGACAGATCCAATGGCGGGTTTCACCTTCTGTCATCCACCGTCCCCCTCGTTCCAGTCTGGAGAGTGCAGCCGGCATGCTGGCCACATACCCTGTTCGTGGGAAACGACAGAAAAGGCAGGCTCTGTGAACTGGGCCGTGGTCTGCCAACACAGAACAACATTCTACGTCAGGGGCCATGCGATTGCAATTTCCAGGCAGGCAAAGATAAAGGGCTTGTCTCGGGAAAGGCACATGACACCCTCGAATCTGGGGCCAGAGGGGACGGACTGAGAACCTACATGTCAGAGCAGCACAGACACGCCAGAGCTCTCCGAAGCTGACAGAGGAAAGGCCACTGACTGGGAACCCCCTAAAAGAGAGACACAGGGGAGCCGTCCTCACCCACTGACACCAGGTTCCTGAAGTTCTCCAGCATCACGTCCCGGTACAGGTCCTTCTGGGCGGGGGCCAGGAGCCGCCACTCCTCCTGGGTGAAGTCCACAGCCACATCCTCCAGTGTCAGCGATTCCTGTAACAACACAGTCCTGTTTAACATGACTGTTCCTCGAGTTCCTGAAATGGAAGGAATATAAGGGGAGTTGTTCTCATTTTCGCCACATAGGCCACATATGTACACTTGGGTCTTTGGATATATTTTTTTAATTTATTATTTTTTTGTTTTATTTTTAATTTTATTAAAAAATTTTTCAATATTTATTTTTCTTTCTTTTTTTTTTTAACGTTTATTTATTTTTGAGACAGAGAGAGACAGAGCATGAACGGGGGAGGGTCAGAGAGAGGGAGACACAGAATCGGAAACAGGCTCCCGGCTCTGAGCTGTCAGCACAGAGCCCGACACGGGGCTCGAATTCACGGACCGCGAGATCATGACCTGAGCTGAAGTCGGCCGCTTAACCGACTAAGCCACCCAGGCGCCCCAATGTTTGTTTATTTTTGAGAGAGAGAAAGATAGTGTGAGCAGGGGAGGGGGCAGAGAGAGAGGGACACACAGAATCTGAAACAGGCTTCAGGCTCTGAGCTGTCAGCGCAGAGCCCAACGGGGGGCTTGAACTCGTGAACTGCGAGATCATGACCTGAGCTGAAGTCAGACACTTAACTGACTGAACCATCCAGGTGCCCCAGGTCTTTGGATATTTAAAAAAAAAAAAAATTTTTTTTAACATTTATTCATTTTTGAGAGACAGAGAGAGACAGAGTGTGAGCAGGGGAGGGGCAGAGAGAGAGAGGGAGACACAGAATCCGAAGCAGGCTCCAGGCTCTGACCTGTCAGCACAGAGCCCGACACGGGGCTCAAACTCATGAACCACGAGATCATGACCTAAGCCAAAGTCAGACACTTAACTGACTGAGCCACTAAGTCACCCCAGATATTTTTTAAACTATGTTGCTATGGAAGCAAAATACATCCATGTTTAAAGTACGTATAACAAAATACTCAGTAAGCGTGCAGTGAAGCATCATTCAACAAATCAGAAGTTTCTGTAATAAGTAGTCATTAAATTCTGCTAAACTAAAAACATTTGCAATATATGTATTTGAAGCACTGGCTGTATATATACATGAAGAAGAATCATACTTTTGCTATATAACTCTGTAATCATTGGAGTTTTTTACCTTTAAAATATATCCAGGCTGTTCTATGGGGTTAATATTTAAAAGGTAATAGAAGGAGGGGCGCCTGGGTGGCGCAGTCGGTTAAGCGTCCGACTTCAGCCAGGTCACGATCTCACGGTCCGTGAGTTCGAGCCCCGCGTCGGGCTCTGGGCTGATGGCTCAGAGCCTGGAGCCTGTTTCCGATTCTGTGTCTCCCTCTCTCTCTGCCCCTTCCCCGTTCATGCTGTCTCTCTCTGTCCCAAAAATAAATAAACGTTGAAAAAAAAAAATTTAAAAAGGTAATAGAAGGAGATGGCACCTGGATGGCTCAGTCGCCTCACTCTCGATTTAGGCTCAGGTCATGATCTCACAGTTCGTGGGTTTGAGCCTTGAGTCACAGGGCCTCCTGGGATTCTCTCTCTCCCTCTGCCCCTCCCTCACTCACACACACACTCCCTCTCTCAAAATAAATAAACTTTAAAAATATACTGTATCCCAATGGGGTGTCTGGGTAGCTTAGTCAGTCAAGCATCTGACTTTGGTTCAGGTGTTGATCTCACAGTTCATGATTCAAGCCTCACGTCAGGGTGCTGACAGCTCAGAGCCTGCACCCTGGTTCAGATTCTGTGTTTTCCTCTCCCCCGCTTTCTCTCTCTTTCTCAAAAATAAACTTTAAAAAAATCCTTAAGGGGCGCCTGGGTGGCGCAGTCGGTTAAGCGTCCGACTTCAGCCAGGTCACGATCTCGCGGTCCGTGAGTTCGAGCCCCGCGTCAGGCTCTGGGCTGATGGCTCAGAGCCTGGAGCCTGTTTCCAATTCTGTGTCTCCCTCTCTCTCTGCCCCTCCCCCGTTCATGCTCTGTCTCTCTCTGTCCCAAAAATAAATAAACGTTGAAAAAAAAATTAAAAAAAAAAATCCTTAAAAATATACTGTATCTCAAAAAACAAATAAAATAGGGGCGCCCAGGGGCACCTGGGTGGCTCAGTCAGTTAAGGGTCCAACTTCAGCTCAGGGCACGATCTCACAGTTCATGGGTTCAAGACCCGCGTCGGACTCTATGCTGACAGCTCGGAGCCTGGAGCCTGCTTCTGATTCTGTCTCCCTCTCTCTCTGCCCCTTCCCTGCTCATGCTGTCTCTCTCTGTCTTTCAAAAATAAATAAATGTAAAAAAAACCTTTTTTTAAATAGGGGTGCCTGGATGGCTCAGTTGGTTAAGCATCCGACTTCAGCTCAGGTCATGATCTCGTGGTCCATGGGTTCAAGCCCTGCATCAGGCTCTGTGCTGACAGCTCAGAGCCTGGAGTCTGCTTCAGATTGTGTCTCCCTCTCTCTCTGCCCCTCCCCTGCTCATGCTCTGTCTCTCTCTCTCTCTCAAAAATAAACAAACATTAAAAATATTTAGTAAATAAAATAAAATAGGAGACAGTAGAAATTGGCTTTGAACATGAGCAAGGAGCATGTGCTCTTACATTAAGGGGGAGTTTGAAAGCAAACTGCCTGGATCCCAACAACCTTACCCAACAACAGTACCTTCAACTCTCTACTGCCATATTTGAACTCAAACACCAACCAGTTCAGCCCCCTGTTCATAAGGACTTTTTAAAGTCATGCAGTCCTTCCATTTTCTTAGGTCACCTGGGTTTTATTTTCAGAATAACCCTGATGGCCGCAAGGCTGGATCCATAGGCCCTCTTGTTATGGTCCCAGAAAAAACTGTGCCCACTGAGGTCTCCTGGTCTATTCTCAAAGAGGCCTCTGAGGAACCCTGTTTTGCATTTAGGAGAAAGTTGAAGTTCAAGACACCATATCATGTCTAGGAAGCACCCCTAGACAAAGGTCCAGATGCCTAGGTGCCATGAAATATATAGTGACATCCTTGTGGAACCAGTCTGCTTTCTCCTCAGTCATGGTCTATCCTGTGATCATCGTGATTCTCCAGTTGTGATGGCCATCAGAGACATCAGACATAAGCCGACAGCTAACGTAGCCCAAAAGATGCTCCAGTCACACGGGATGTTCTAACACGAGTTAGTGTGGATCCTAACAACAACATGTTCCTGAGCCTATCTGCCTCGATACTGAAGTTGGAATCTAAATCTATTTCTGCACAAATCCTATTTACCAATGTAAATCCTATTTACCAATGTGTACTCTTCCATTTAATTCAGTTGCATTTTAAAGTCCTCCAAAAATCAATCACAGAATTAAGGGAAGAATAAAATAAAGTCACCTGGTCCTTAATCATTTTCTTCTGTTATTGGAAAACAGCCGGTAACGGGGATGCTGTGTCTCTAGTTTCTCCTTGCATTGCCCTAAATTCCTGGTTAGAAATCTTGGTCTCTGGTCAGTGGTGTCCCCACAAATGACCGCACGCAGGTCCTGAGACCCGCTCCTTGCTTCTCTTGATGGATTTTGCTCCCAGAGCTGGGACCTGTGGGCTGAAAAGTAAGTTCACTTTGAGTGCACATTTCCTCTGGGCCCAGATGCTATCACTGCTACTGTCACTCACCTGATTTCAAGGCCATCTGTCCCTTTGTATGGAGCCCCAGAGGCTACTGCACTCTGGAGCAAAGAAACACCATACTGTGAGTGTGTGGGCACTTTCTTCTAGGAAGTGAAAGTGGGGTCTGCAAAAGGCGCCATGAAAGGAGAGACAACACAGCGTGACGCCCCCAACGGGGGCCTCTCACACAGGTCAGTGTTTGGGAGGAGAAGAAGTAAAAGGTGAGAATTTGGATATCTATTCCTTTAAAATCACATGTGTTCGTGTACCTGCTCAAAAGTCTTCATACATGGCTCAGTTTGAAGACCCAATGTGCTCAGCAAAGCATTATCTAACAAACCATTTTCACTAATTGTTATGTGAAAGAAACAAAGACAAACCAATGGGAAAAAAATTAAAGCATATTCTTTCTGGCTATATACACATTGAATGAAACTATAAAAACATGCTTTATATAAACCGAGTTCAGGGGCGCCTGGATGGCTCAGTCGGTTAAGTGTCCGGCTTTAGTTCAGGTCATGATCTTGCAGTTCATGAGTTCGAGTCCCGCATTGGGCTCTGTGCTGACAGCTCAGAGCCTGGAGTGTGCTTCCGATTCTATGTCTCCCTCTCTCTCTGCCCCACTGCTCCCCACCCTGCTCGCACTCTGTCGCTCAAAGATAAACATTAAAAAAAATGTTTTTAATAAAAAATAAAAAAAATAATAAGCCAAGTTCAAGAAAGTCATAGTAGTGCCTGGCTGGCCCAATCAGTGAAGCATGTGACTCGATTTCAGGTTTGTGGGTTCAAGCCCCATGATGGGTACAGAGATTACTTTAAAAAGGTAAAATCTTGGGGTGCCTGGGTGGCTCAGTCAGTTAAGCGTCTGACTTCAGCTCAGGTCATGATCTCATGGTCTGTGAGTTTGAGCCCCACATTAGACTCTCTGTTGCCAGCACAGAGCTCGCTTCAGATCCTCTGTCCCCCTCTCTGTCCTTCCCCTGCTCATGTGCGTGTGCGTGTACTCTCTCAAAACTAAATGAACTTAAAAAAGAAAAAAGGGTAAAATCTTTAAAAGAAAGAAAGAAAGAGAAAGAAAGCCATTATCTCTGGGGAGGGGAGGAGGTGGATTAGAGGCCATCACGTAAGTTGCATTTGCAGTCAGTGAATTTTTTTAAAAAAGATTTTTATTTGTTTATTTATTTTTAAGTAATCTCTACACCCAACGTGGGGTTCAAACTCACAACCCCAAGATCAAGAGTGGCACACTCCTCCGAATGAGCCAGCCAGGCGCCCCGCGATCAGTTTCTTTCTTTTTTTTTTTTTAATTTTTTTTTCAACGTTTTTATTTATTTTTGGGACAGAGAGAGACAGAGCATGAACGGGGGAGGGGCAGAGAGAGAGGGAGACACAGAATCGGAAACAGGCTCCAGGCTCTGAGCCATCAGCCCAGAGCCCGACGCAGGGCTCGAACTCACGGACCGCGAGATCGTGACCTGGCTGAAGTCGGATGCTTAACCGACTGCGCCACCCAGGCGCACCTAGTTTATTTCTTTAAAAAGTACTAGTGACCAACAAAAAAAACCAAATCAGGTACATCCTGAAGGAAAATTCCCACTGAATGACAATGACAGAGTGGGAAGTTTCAAGGGCCCATAACTCCACAGAAACATCAAAAAAACAAGCAAGAACTGTCAGAATAAAGAACAAAACAAAACCTTTATCATAACTCTGAAGAACTCTAAACTCATAGGTTTATAGCAGCAGAGTGATCACTCAATCAAGAAAGAGGCAACTTGCGGGGCGCCTGGGTGGCTCAGTCTGTTAAGCGTCCGACTTCAGCTGAGGTCATGATCTCACGGTTCACGGGTTCGAGTCCCGTGTCGGGCTCTGTGCTGACAGCTCAGAGCCTGGAGCCTGCTTCCGATGCTGTGTCTCCCTCTCTCTCTGCCCCTCCCCCTTACTCATGCTCTGTCTCTCTCTGTCTCTCAAAAATGAATAAACGTTAAAAATAAAGAAGAAAGAAATAAAAGCACCAGTGCCTACTGGGGAATGTATAAAGCCAAGTACATGCACAGGGCAGGACACCTGCTCAGAAAAAAACCTGAGAAGACCCTAAGCTTTCCCTCTGGCTGATCTCTACACTCAGCGCAAGTGGGAAATGAACGGTAAGGCAGAGTTGTAAACAAAATAGTCTGGCTAAGCACTGAAGGAGCACCCCGGGATACAACACACAACCATGAGGCATACCAAGTGAAACAAGCCAGACACCAAAGGTCACATGTTGTATGATTCCACTTCTATGAAATATCCAGAATAGGTAAATCCACAGAGACAGAGAGCAGATTGGTGGTTGTCACGGTCTGGGGGAACAGGGGAGTATAGAGTGACTGCTTAATTGTTAGAGGATTCCCCTCAGAGTGATAAAAATGCTCTGGAACTAGACAGAAGTGGTGAGGGCACAATGTTATATATGTACTAAAATCCACTGCATTGTTGACTTTAAAATAGTTAACGTTGTTTTGTGAATTTCATTCAATAAAAACAATCCAACACGTCCTAAATATGTTCAGTAAAACAATAAAGTACCTTCTTTAAAGCCAAGAACAAGAAAAGGATGAGCAGTAACACCTCGGTACATTATCTGTACCTATTCTGGAAATGCTACCCAGTTAATTTCATAAAGAATCAAGAGAAAAAAAGAATCAAATAAGAATAATCAGTATCAGAGAAGAGGAAGGGTATGATTAAAAGTTCCTTCAATGTGATTAAGTAAGGGTCAGAACTTCAGAGATTTGAGCGAACATATACCAAAAATAAGTTTTTCATCTTACATTCTATGAACTAAAAAAACAATATTTCTCATATAAAAAAATAAGTTTTTGGTCAGATGGCTGATTATAGGACTTCTGTCTAAAAGTGGATAGCATTCTGGGGGCACCTGAGTGACTCAGTCAGTTAAGCATCTGACTTTGGCTCAGGTCATGATCTTGTGGTTTGTGAGTTCGAGCCCTGCGTCGGACTCTGTGCTGACAATCAGAGCCTGGAGTCTGCTTCACATTCTATGTCTCCCTTTCTCTGTCCCTCCCCTGCTCACACTCTGTCTCTCTCTGTCCAAAATAAATAAACATAAAAAAATTTTAAATAGATAGCATTCCAAAACACACATTTCTTACAGCAGTGTTACGTGACTGACTATTAGGGGAATGGCTTAACACTTCGTACTGAACACTTTCAATAGAGATTTTGCTAGAATCCAAAAAAAATCCACTTTTAGTAAAAGTTGCAAAAGAAATAATGGAACAAGCAGGCCAAGTTGATATAAAAGTACAATTTTAGGTCTGCTAATAGAGAATTAATTGAATGAATAAAAGTATACACATCCAGTGAAATATTATGCAGCTATGAGAAATGCTAACAATCTATATTTAGTGAAAAGATATATACCTTGAAGTTATGCATAGCATAAGCACATGAAAAGATGCCCAATATCATTCTTCTTCAGAGAAATGAACATCAAAACCACAATTGAGATATAGTAAAAAAAAAAAAAGAAAGAAAATTGCAATCGTTGATGAATATGTGGAGGAAATGGAACCCTCATAACTGCTCGTGGAAATGGAAAATGGTGCAGCCACTTTGTAAAATAGTCTGGTGGTTCCTCCAACAGTTAAACATATTTACCGTGTGACCCAGCAATTCCACACCAGGTTTATATCCAGAAGTAAAGGCATGTCCACACAAAACTTTGTACACACGGGCGCCTGCGTGGATCAGTCCCCTTAAGCGTCTGACTCTTGATTTCCACGCAGGTCCCGATCTCACAGCCATGAGAAAGAGCCCCACTTCGGCTCTGTGCTAACGGTGTCAAGCCTGCTTGGGATTCTCTCTCCCTCTCCCCTCTCTCTGCCTCTCCCTCGCTCTCTCTCACAATAAATACATAAACTTTAAAAATATATATATTATTTTACTTGTGTTACAGTGGCATCGAAAAGAAGTGTTTCCAAGCGTGTGTGTATGTGTGCACACAGTAAACTTCCAGAAAGGGCAAAATCCTCATCTTCAGTAGAAACCTTACCACTTTGGTTGTGTTTAATGCTCGATTTCCAACAAAGCTCTCATATCTAGGGGGTCGAGAGGAAGAGATGCGACCCCGAGGAAGAGAGGAAGGAAGGCAAACTAGGGCTTGGATTGGAAGGGCTGACAGGGAAGGAAACGCTGGAACCCACCCACCCACCTGCTTCAGCCCTCACAAACCTCTCAAGGGCCGACACACCTGGACTTCCCCCAAACACTCGTCACCCCCCCACCCTGGAATAATCCCGAAACCTGTACCAGACACCTGTGTTCGCTAACCGCGCGCCCTCGCTCCTGTCAATGAGCCACAGGGTAAAACCCGAATCCGAAGCGGACACCGCTTTCATGAACAAAATCCACTTCCAAAACTAGTCCTCAGTCGCTGGGCGCTACAGACGGGCACCGAACCCTGACCACAGACTCGGAAACGTGGATCTCGACAGACGTGTAATCACTGACCCTCACAATCCTTCAGGACCGACTCCAGAGGCACTGCACCCACACACACCCGACCACGGGCTCCCACTTCCGTCCTCTCCCCATGGACCCCACAGTCACATCGGTCCTCTCACCCTGTTCCCCAGACGGACCCACACACAGACCTGATTTTCTAGAGACCCCACGACGACCTCCTACTAACTGCACTTCCGCGAATTCTCCTGCCGCGCCCGTGCCCAGCTCCCCGCCAGCGACGGCGGCCGGCGAGGGCCAGCGGCGTTTCTACGGAGCACGGACGCCTGGACTTCCGGCTTTTCCCGGAGTCAATATGTCCGCGCCCATCTGGCCACGCGTGTCCCAGGCGGCCATCCTTCTGTACTTGACGTACAGAAGGCGAAGTAGTCCTATTGGCGAGTCGCCAGGAAAGGCTCGGCACAGTGA